ATCTAAAATGATCAATTTTGTGAATTAATTCCCACAATCACTGCTAAATTTAAACACTTGATGTTACCATCAAAAAAAAATGTAATAAAATCATAAAATAAGAATGATTTTTTGCTGAAAATTAATGAAACATGCAAAAATAACAAACTTCAGATTTAATTTTGCAATTTTTTGCTAAAGTTCAACAAAATCTTCTAAAACAAGCATTAGATAGAACCAAATAAGCCAAAATAATGCATCTGTTTTTTTCTTTTTAAATTCAAATGAGGCCGTTTTTCGTTATCAAATTTAAGCGATTTTGCAATGACCTAGGATTAACCATGAGTTAAAAAAATAAACACTCACAAGAAGAAATTTAAAAAAACATTTCAAAAATGTATATCTTCAGCCTATTTTGAGTTTGCAGAAAGTAAGCAAAATGATACCAAACAATTGGGGGAAATAATTCTTGCAACCACTGCCAAATGTTTAAATACTTGGTGTTATTATCAAAAAAAAAAGAAATTGTAAATTAATAAAATGAGAAGGTTTTTTTTATTGAAAATAAAGCAAAATATGCAAACATTTCAAATTTTAAAAACCATTGTGTTACCACCTTATGTTTTTTTCTAAGAAGATCTCTTAAAATCAGCAAATTTTTTTGTGTAAATCGAACAATTCAAGCAGAAATGAGATATTTCAGGCCAAATTTTTTGAAGTTTCTGCTTTGCTTTAGCTTAATTTTATTTTGCATAACTAAACTAGTCTATAAATGCGGTGTTCTACATTGAATTATAATAACAGCAGGGGGTTTAATTTTTATAATTAAGTCGAACAAAAAACATATGTGTAAAAAAAATTTGCAAAGAAAAATGGTCATGACAATTTTTGAGAGGAAAACTCGGAATAAAGTAATATAATATAATTCATTGTGAGTAAATAACTTTACTTAATCGTCTTCTTCTGCCTTCCTGGAAGCTTACACAAATTCTCTGATTTTAGTGCCGGTTTTTGTCTATTTTTAACGTCGCGAAAATTTGCAAAGCAAATAGTCAATTTCGGTCAATTTGCACTCACTTTTGGCAAGTTTGCCTAACCCGAATTTTTTGTCCAAACTTTAGAGTTGAGAATAGTTAGCACCCAAAGACCAAGTTCTATGGGTCACGTGTGCAAATCCCCCGTCAAAATAAGTGTTTTTTGGGTTTGATTTTTTGGTAAATTAGAAGTGAGTTCATCGTCCTCGGTTAGTCACCCTTTACCCCAGTGAACCGTCGGCCAGTCGCACACTGACCGCCTGTTGGCCTCCCCTGCGCCCCCTCAACGCGGAACCGCGACACATACCCGACCTGACCCACATTGACCAGGAAGCGTCGCGATGTCGTGACGTTCAATGCGATGTCATCGAACTCGCGAATCAGCTGAATTCGCGGTCGTTGACTCTCTTTCGATGATTCGGCGTTTCTCGCCATTTCGTAATCACCGCCGAATGCAAATTAGTCAGGTCAGGTCATTTCTGTTTCTACGGGAGGTGCATCTGGCAGCTGGGGTGACCGAAAGAGCTGAAACTAGAATGGCGGATCATCGACCTCGCAAAGTTAGTAGGTCAGGGCTTGCGGCGGTCAAAGACCTGCCGGTCATTTACTCATTTCTACTTTGTTCGGTGGCTTTTGTCGACTCAACACTACAAAATCCTTAGTTTTTTCTTTTTCGTGATTGAAAATTCACGCATCCACGCGCGGGAGGACGCCACCGGTCCCCAGACGCACAGATCCACAGACACACAGACATATAGACATAGAAATATGCAGGCGGAACATTAAATACAACTTATTCTACTCTTTCCCAAAGCGAGCTTCGACTATACTTGCAACCACGGAAAGATGATTTTTACGAATGCACCAACGAGAACTCACCGGCTTAACGAGCCCATAATTGACCCAACTGTGCTCCAAGAAACTTCATAAACACAATTCTGTGAAATCATTCCCACAATCGTGCAACTATCGAAAGAAATTTTGCGAAAATTACGCATTTCGGGCTTAATTTTGCAAAATTATGACTTGTTTTGGCGAAAATTTTCTAAATTTGTTAAACACACCGAAACACGAGTTTTGAAATAAATTTGGCGAAAATTTCTCAATAAATTATCGAGATTTCCACAATCACTGCTAAATTTGAATACTTGATAGAATCATCAAATAAGAATGATTTTTTGTTGAAAATTAAAGGAAATATGCAGAAACGGAATAAGCTTAATGATACGCAAAAATAATAATAATTCCCGCAAAATTTTTAAATATTTGATGTTATCAAAAAAAAAATGATAAACTAATCAAATGAGAAAGATTTTTTATTGAAAATGAAGCAAGATATGCAAAAATTAAAATGCAAAGATTTTAAACCAAGTTTTATTATCTTATGCATTTTTCTAACAAAATCTCTCAAAATCAGTAAATTTTAAACTGTCTAAATTTGCAAAATTCTGACTTGTTTTTAAAAAGTTTCAAAACATACGGGTGATAAAACTTTAGCGAAAATTCCTCATTGAAAACTCTTAAAAATGAAATGAATCTTTAAATTAGGGAGATTTTCTTTAAAAGGAACGCGAAACATCGCATGACAATCTAAAATGATCAATTTTGTAAAATAATTTCCACAATCAGTGCTAAATTTAAACATTTGATGCTACCATCAAAAAATGTTATAAAATAAATAAGCAAAAATAACAAACTTCAGATCTAATTTTGCAATTTTTTACTAAAGTTCAATAAACTCTTCTGAAACAAGTGTTAGATAGAACCAAATAAGCCAAAATAATACATCTGTTTTTTTTTAATTCTTTTCATTAAGTTAACAAAATTTCTTCAAATAAGGCCGTTTTTCGTTATCAAACTTAGGCACGGGATTAACCGTAAGGTTAAAAAAAATGTGTTTAACCAAGAAAAATGACTGCAAAATTTTTAAATACTTGATGTTACTATCAAAAAAATAAATAAAAAAGTAATATATTGATCAAACAAGAAGGATTTTTTATTGACAATGAAGCAAAATGTCCAAAAATTTTCAGATTTTAAACCAAGTTTTACCATCTTATGTTTTTTTCTAACAAAATCTCTCAAAATCAGTAAATTTTTTGTCTAAATCGAGCAATGCAGGGGGAAATAAAACATTTCAGGCCAAATTTTTTGAAGTTTCTTGCTTTGCTTTGGTTTAATTTTATTTTTGCGTAACTAAACTAGTTTATAATAATTTGTATTATTATTAGTGTTAAAGCAACATTTAAAAGAAAAGTCGAACAAAAAACAAAAAAAAATGTATGTGTTGAAAAAAATTGGAAAGAAAAATGGCAAAAGATAAAACCATGTTAGTTTTTGAGAGAAAAATGTTTTTTTCTGGAAACTTTGAATAAAATGTGTTTGTAATGGATGTTTGCATGGATTCAGAGTGCCTTTGAAGAAGGTCGCGTCTTGGAATGAGGCTCGGTGGCCTTTGGTGGGGTTCCATATGGAAGTGTATCTTAGTTCCACCGTGGGAACGTCGCGAGCTCCGTATCCGCATATGGTGGTGTCCGATCTGCGCTATAATTAGCGACGTTGAAGCGGCGTATTGATTTGGTTTTTTGGCCCAGGTGCTCCCAATGAATGGGGCCCATCTAGTGGACACGAGAGCGTCAAAAGCGCAAACCTCCTGTAACAAATGGTTTTATAAAGACATGAGACGACCCCCTGGTGAAGGGCTTGTGTTAATTGGGGCGACAGCAAGGTGTGTGTCCGAACTCTTCAAGGCGGCATGGCACATGCCGATGACGGATTAGCCCTTGTCCACCCAGCAGATGGACTCGACAACTCACAAAACACTTTGTTTTTCCACAAGTAAACAACTCGGTGAAAAAATAATAATAATACCAAACGAAAGTTCCCGGAAGTACGACGTGAAAGCGCCGGGAAAGTTAAGGAGTGGTCGATGACTCGCGAAAACAATGTGAAAGTTCACAATTCCGCCGAAAATCGACGCTGATGAGTGCAACCAACATCAAGAGACAAAAATATAATAAACAAGTTTATTCACCTATGATTTGAAATGTTGATACTACCTGTTCTGGCTCTATAAAATTGCAACGACTGATAATTCGACAAAGAAAAAATTTGCAAAAAATCACAGATCATTAGAATACCAAGAATTAGGCCTTGAGGCACTGCAACACTAAAAAGACTAATTCGGTTTGTGGCCTACAAAAGTGTCATCGGCCAGTGAATGGCAACAGCTCATTTTTTATTTTCACCAAATAAGAAATGATTTCTAATCTAGAGACTGGATAGTCAAAAAACAAAACTGTTGCAAAAACGACAAAAAAGCGAAAAAAACTATTCTCGATTGCTGCTTTATTTAAAAAATCCACTTTTTCTAACGAAATGAGAGTTCCACTTGATTGCAAAAAACACAAATTGATTTTTTTTATACTGTAATTTGGCCTGTTAATAAATGCCCGTTTTTTGACGTTGTCTTTGTCACAATTCACAATTTCACAATTGTCAGGCATCTTCCAAACTTCTATCAAGTTTTTCTATTTTATTCCATTTCGTTTTTAGCATTGACTATGACACTGCACTGGCAAGACCACCCAACAACATTTCTTTTGATAGTTTTCTAATCTTTTTGGAAATAACCTTTTTCACACTATGTAAAAATTTGACAATTTTGTTTTTGACAATTTGCGTTTTTTTTGCACTCAAGTGTACGTTTCCGAAAATGGTCAAGTTTTTAATGTTCTATGAGGTTCAACTATGAGGTTCAAAAAACGATTCATTTTTCATGTTTTTTATACAGGATGTGTGTGTCAGTATCATTAAATAGACATAAAAAAATGTCAAACGTCAAAAAATAAATGTCAAAATTTTTTGACAGAGAATTATTTTAACATTTTTTCCATGTTCCTGGTACCTTTACCATGTCACGTCTGTTCGGTCTTTTTGACACACCCTGTAGCTATTAAGACAACTAGAGTTTTATAGACAATTTTTTTAACTAAGTATAAAACTCGTGTAATATTGAATCAGAAATTTTACTAAATTCAGGAATTCTTATAAAAAAGTATGTCAAAATAATGTAAAAAACTGTCAAAAAATATGCATCAGCGTATTTTATAGATTTATAAGATATGTTGCCATTGACCACGTTATACAGGATGTGTCAGAACTCGCGCTCCAGAGAATAATTTCAAATAAGATAAGATACCAGGAACATGGAAAAAATGTTTAAAAAATTCAAAAAATAAAAGTTAAAATCCAGTTAAAAACTTCAGTTTATGTATATGACGTTTCAATGGTACATTTCCATTTTCTTCAAATATAAAAAGAAAAAAAACGTGTCTAAAATTGACAACACTGCCACGTGTGTGGCACCACATGAAACGTCATATACTGAAGTTTTTAACTGGATTTTATTTTTCCTAGAATCTCACTCTTATCAATCAGAGTCCAAGAAATTACAACAAAATTGACATTTATTTTTTGACATTTGACATTTTTTTGTCTATTTAGTGCAAAATTTAAACTTCGAAATTTTTATAGATAGAATTTTTAAAATTTTTTCCATGTTCCCAGTATCTTAACTTTTATAGCATTTTTCTCGGGGACGCGAGTTCTGGCGCACCCGGTATAGGTGTTCCAAAATTAAGGTTTTAGAGTGGAAAGTCTGATCTTTGAGGAAATTTTGACATTGACAATTGTTAAAAAAAGGACTTTAATTAGTATTAATTTTAAATATTAAAACAGTATTTGAGAAATGAGTGCTAAGATTAAATTTGTTCACGTAAAAGAGTTTTTTTTTTACTTAAAATTTGTGTTTAATGAAACCGAGACATAAAAATGAGTTTTAGCTTGAAATAAATGTGTCATAACCCGAAATAAGCAGCCATGAACAGTTACTCAAAGAGAAAATAAGACAAAACGAATAAGAAAAGATCTTTTCTGAACTAAGTCTGTTTCTAGAAATTTCTATGATTTGAGCGATGTTTTTTTTGAAAAGCTTTAATAATGTGTTGAGTAAGGTTAAGCGGTCCGGCAGTGGTCCAGACCCCGGATGAAGAATGGTAAATTACCGTCCGAAGAAGCCAAGCAAGGGGTTCAGTGGCAGCGTGAGTGGGTCAGGGCTGGCGTGGCGTCCCGACGACGACCGACTCCCACTCTAGTTCTTATGCGCCGTCCCATCACATTTAAACGCTGGTCGTTCCCACTTCGGTTCATTCCCAGCGCGAGTCGTGCCAAGTTATGTCAGGTCTCGATCCGACCGGCCTTTACTAAAAAGCGACAAAATCGCCCGTGTTTTCACCATTATAAATAATTTTCTCTCGCAAAATAAAATCAAATTCAACGATGGACGGCGGCAAACTCGACCCCACTGGACAGTACTAGAAGTGTTGGTGGTTTAGTGGTGCTAACTCCTCCGGTCTAACAATGAAGCTGAACGGCGGCAAGAGTCTGGATCCAACCGGACTTTACTGATGTGGCACCGCGACGGAGGCGATGGCGGACGTCCGGAAACGTCGAGCGGTCGACGCCGGAGACTCCGGTAAGTCCAGTTCCACTTCCGCGTGTTTTTCTCCGGTTATTGACCCAAGTTTGGAACTCATTCGCCCACCTTCGCGCATCATCATCATCATCATTCCACACACGAATTTACATTTCCAAAATTATTGCCAAGATCATTGACCACTCTCAAATCCAACCTGACTTAACCTACAAACGCATAACCCTTCTTCTTCCTGCAATCAATGACATGGGTACATTGACCGCCCGTTTCGACTCTCGATGATGCTCCTCTTCAGGGCTGGACTCGCCGAAAACACGCAACCTTGCAAGGTGAAGGCCCTCTAAGACACTAGGTCACTCTTTGGGGGGTTGTTAAATCACTCTTTTCTCTTAACACAATCACATTTCCGGATTGCAATCTATCAAGGCCACCGTTCTAAAGCTTTAGGCTATGCAGTAAACACTGGCATCATCGACAGGTAGAAGGGAAATGACCTAAATTAGGAGCTTTTGGTATGCATCTAATAACGAGGTCACTTTTTGCCCAATTAACAAGGCTCAATCATGGCCAAAACAATCACAACCATGCTCTTTAATTAAACATTTAACATTTTTCTTGTTGCAGATAAAATCGCCTCTTTGATAAAACAACACACTGCCACATAAGTTACCACCTATTCATTCATCTGGATGTATCAAGACTGATGTTTGTTGATTTTATTAATTATTAAGATATTTTGTTTTTTTATTAAATTATATTAGGTTAAGTTCCTTAAGAATGACATTCAGTTTTTCTTAATTTGTTGTATATAATTTTTTAAAAAACATTTCTCAACTTGTATATTTTAAGCTTTGCTGCTTTTTTATATTCTTGGAAATGAATAAAATATTTTTTATTTAAACGTAAACTGCGTTTTCTTCCAAAACCCCCTCGTGGGTAGGTAAATATCCATCATTTTCCCATGTTTTCGGTAGATATCCTCCCACATGTGTCAGGTTTAAATAAACACGCGAACCGCAGAGACCATTAAAACACTCCTTCGCACTTCAGTGGGAGCTTTTGGTAGATGTCGAAATCTTCAAGTTCAAGGTTTGAGTAATTTTGTGCAAGGTTACTTAAAAAACGAAAGTTATGGCGGTTTTCTCGTGTTTAGGTAGAAATCATGCTAATAATCCGGTAAGACCAGAAACGCATTCTGCATAAATAGAGAGTGTCGGTCTTGGGTCTATTTACTCGTCTTAATTTCGATGCGATTAATAATAGAAAACTCTCCACCTGTTGTGTTGTAAATTATTCGAATGGGTGCAATTAGCATAAAACTGGATCCTTGACCTTTATTTATTTTGTCTCAAATCCCGGTTTCGCCCAAAATATTATGTATTATGTCATCTGATCGCGACCTCTCGATCCTGACCTAACCTTTAGCAAAAACTTGCAATTAATTCCAATTATCTGCATGTAGGAGAGAAGGTTTCTCTATGGTCGCACCTGACCTCAACTGTAAGAAGCGAGGTTATAACTAATTTTCAATTGATATTAGATACAATTATTGCAAGAAATTGTTTTTGCTATGATTAATACGAACTTGCTGATTACGAATAAGGAATTTTTTTGTGAATTGCAAGGATGTTAGATTATTAAATAGGAGACCTTCGGTCTCGCATAAATAATTCATTTGGAATTGAAGATAAGAAAAAATCTTATCATTTGTTTATCATTTCGCATTCATGGAGAACGAGATCATAAAATATGTTGTGTATGATGTGGAAATTGTAGCACGTTTTAAACCGACCACTTCATCTTCAACTAAATTAATTGGAACTGAAAAGAAGCAAAAAACGTCTCTTCTAGAACTTGAAAATTTCGAACCAAGTCAACAACCTATTATGCAGAAATTCGGATTAATTTCCTCAAGTTTTAATTAGTTGAGACGTTCCAGCATTGTGTCTAGTAGCATCTCCCATATTTAGTCGCCGCCGCCTTGATCGGATAACCCTTTTATTGGTTTCATTTTGAACCAAACGCGGAATGTGTATCAAATTTGGCTCGAATCCAAATTAGTAAATGCAGTTTTCAGTCGGCTATCAAATGTCAAATATGGTACGGCATGCGGCCGTTGGTGAACACGTGCACACATCTCCTTCTGGAGGGGGAGAAATCACGACCCTTGACCTTGAAATTGAATCGCTACTCCTGCAATGGAGGAGTGTGCCATTAGACATTGTAATGAGCCGATCGAGATTGATCAAAAGTCTTCTTGTTCTTCCATCTCGATGACTCGACGATAACTCCAAAAAATAATTAGATTTCATTTCCCCCACAGACGACGACTCCGGAGGTCATGCATCCATATTCATTTACTTTATATTATTATCTCGAGTTTAACGACCCAAATGACACCAACTCTAATAAACAATAGCTAACCTATGATGAACCTCAATCACTGAAAGATGACACTCCGAACTCAAAATTTTATTTATCTAATAACACAATTCCACAAATAAACCATAACATTTAATGATACGCAATCTCTTGGTTCTTATGATTGCATGATGCAGTAAGCAAACAAGGAAGAAAACTAAATTGTTCTACACAGATGACAGAGTTTCTTCTTCTTCCGATTTATCAATTCAGCATTTTTTAAAACCCACTAAAACGTTTTTGCCATGCAACCTTAGTTTTTATATAGTAACCGTGACTAATTCTTGCATGCACCTTCCTTGTTTACATTTAATTATTTGCAACGATTTCTATAACCACCAGGAAGCTATTAATAGCGCTTTTATGGGAGGGGATTCGCGGGTTTAGGCTCAGTTTTTCAACATCTAGAGAAAATACATGAAAATCTGAGAAAAAAAAACAAAAAAATGCGTCGAATTTATTTATTTTCACATTTTAAGATGCAAAACAGTCGAAAATAGCTATTTATACAACTAGTTGCAATACGAAGGCTTTTTACAATTTTGCTAAAATTTAAGTAAAATATTATAGTATATTAAATAACGAGCACGAAAAGTGATAAATAACACACAAGCGGGAAAGTTGTGCACGAGGCGTTAGCCGAGTGCAGGCAATCCCGCGAGTGCGTTAGACACTTTCCTGCAAGTTTTGTACACTATTTTTCCCACGACCATAAATTTTTTTTTCTTACAAGCATTTTTTTTTCATAACGATTTATTTTTTATAATGGATACAAAAAAAAATACTTTGAATGAAAAAATACAAAACTTTCGTGTGTGAATTGTGCGTTATGTTCTAGTTTCGTATATGGTCGTAGGAAAATTAATTTTTACCGCGAATAAATTGAATTTAAAAGATAGGTGGCTGAAAACATTTGGTTGGTTACTGTTATTTTTATAATAAAAAATGAGTGATTCAGAAGAAGACAACGTTCTAGAGTGTATTGAAGCTGCTTCACAAGAGGCCGCCTCAAATTTAATTTTTAATAAAGAATGGAGGTTTAAACAAAAAGTAAATTGCATTAATGAGAAAGTGATGTTGGGGTACTTCCTTGAAAAATCAAAAATTGTGAAGCCCTCAACATTGTGGAGTGTATATTCCATGTTAAAAACCATGATTTCAATCGACAAAAACCTTGATTTGAGTAAATACACAATTTTTTTTGAAACGACAAAGTGAAATCCAAAAGCTTCAGTAAGGAAAATATACGTATTGAAAAGTTTCAAATGACGAAGATTACTTAATGCAAAAAGTAAGAGTTTTGTTACTATTTATTTTTTGTTTTCAGGTGGTTTTAATAATAGGAGTTACGGGAGCTTGTCGGAGGCAAGAATTACTCAATTTAAAAGTAAATGATGTAGAAGATTTAGGAGAATTTATGAAAATTATGTGCCAATTACTAAAACAAAAGTGCCTCGTGAGTTCACAGATTTTTTTTAAATTATAAAAAACGAAGATGTACCGTGCAACCAGTGGTCTCCCAAGTAAAATTGCAAATTTTTTGGACATTGCTTTAGAAGAACTTCAGCGTCTTTATTAGCCAACGCAGGAGTTGATATGTCGGTTATAAAAAGACATGGAGCCTGGAAATCCTCAAATGTAGCTGAAGGATACGCAGATGATTCTTTAGAGAATAAAAAGAAGATCTGCAAGTTGCTAGTAGGTGGAGAAGATCAGGAAAACACCCAGATTGAAAAAAAAATGATTACTGTTTCATCGTCTTCGGGAGAAGTCTTTGTTTTTCGAATTTAACCAATTGTAATTTTTATTTTAATTCTAAATAAAATTGTTGTACATATAAAAGTCGTAGAAGTAGCACTCAAAATGATGCCAAAATGTCGTGATATTGATTCAAAAGTGTAAAAATCTTTGTTTTCTAATGACCGTGTATGCAAATGCGGCCACACATCGCGTACTCCTCTTCCAAATTTGGCCGATTTAACCTTCTTGTAGGTTCGACGTCCACACAGTCGGCTTCTCGTCAACCTTCGAATAGGTTCACTAACATCACATCCAAGTAGTACCAAAAAGAAAAGCTTTGGTACTTTGCTCGAAATGAGTACTGGTAGTTTATTTAAAAGATTGATTGCTTCATGTACTCTTCCAAGTTTCCAAAGAAAAATATAAAGAAAAATGTAAAAAAACCTGTTTCACAGCACCATCTCGAGTGTAAACGAAGTAAGTAAATAGACTATTAGATATCGTAATTTGTATTCTTCGACAAATCGGCGATTTGTCCTCCCAAATGCGTAACTAAATCGAGATTAGAATGAATTCAATGTTTAAAATTAAGTGAAGCAAGTGGAAACTAATTTAACTATGGGACCAAGGAGGTCCGTGTTCATTGGATAAAGATAAAAAAACGTAAAAAACAGAGGCATGTTTTGCCGGGCCAACGACCTGGGCCAGGTTAGTTTACATTGCCCTTACGTACTTAGGGTTTGGCCGTTTATGAGCCAAGGTGTAAAAGCTGTAGTCACTCGCTTCTTGCTTTTGGTCAAGTGGAACAAAACGATCATCTTTGATGGCCAATCTGCTCGCTCTTGTAATCAACAGTCATTAATGCGGAAAAAATCACAACGCGCTGTAATCTAAGTAGGTAAGTATGTATTACACCTCATTTCGATCATTTTTTTCAGGGAAATGGATCATTTCTGGATCGATTCTTAAGTATTCATTAAACAAACTCGTCTTTTTCTCCTCCCATCGAAATGAGTGGAAAAATGGGTTTGGGAGCCGGTTAACCCATTGAGAGAATGGAATGCGGAAGGTAGGGTGAAATAACGGGATGCCCTTTAGGGTAGGTTAGTTCAACCCTTCCTCGTCTGTCAGTTTGTGTGTGTTTCTTGTGCAACAGCCGCCGGCCTTGGGCAATTTTTTATCGGTTTTTTTGTCTCGGGTTTTTTGTACTACCTTTGGGTCGCTCTTTATTAGATTTTGATGGAGTGTAGGAGAATAACGTGGGAGAGGTGGTTTTTTAATGCATCATCTGCCCGATATTTGTGCGTAACTTTTACCGTTTTTAATTTGTCGGTGAGGACACACACAGAGGAAGAATTGACATTAAAATATGTTTATTGATGGGGCTTATCGGTTTGACACAATTTGGAGGAATGGTAAAACACACACATGATGTGGATTTCCTTGACCTATCAAAAGCGAGAAACAGGAATATAATTTGATAAGATTTGGCGAAATTTCAAGGTCGTGTCTGTATTAATTACTAAAACAACAGTCAAGTTGCACTTTAATAGAGTAAATTGCGATTCTGGTTATGATAGGTAATTGCTCAAGACACGGCATAGACAATTTTAAAGCAATTTTCACGTTACCATTATTAGTAGATGGTTGATAATACCGCAGTGTGATTAAATATTCTTAGCATTACTTTAACAACATCTCGGATTGCTTCTACAATTATTTTTACGTTATGAGGAGTAAAAACATCACCAATGTCATAACTCATCTTTTCCATAATAGTCGAATCGCGTTGAAAAAATCGATTGGTTTGACTCGGTGGCGGCCTATCTCCACCAAATAAGGTCTTGAAAACACTCGCGATTCAAATAAATAAAAATATATAGCACGTGCCCATATACAACTCCACTTTCGGCCGGAGTCTCCTGAATAATGCATCTTTCGAAATTAAAATCCAACTTGTTTTTGCGGCCTTCTTCCACGTGCTGACGGCCAAACTCGAAAATGCACCGCCTTTTATTTTTATTGCAATTCCTATTTAGAAGCTTAAAATCTATAAATGGTATTCATTTGCCAAATTCAAATGCCAATCAATCGTCTGCCGCTCAACACATGACCAAAATTCGAATCGATTTCGTGTGTGTTGCTGCTTTTACCGACCTTATTAGCATACAGGACGGATCTGCGATTACAACTTTAATTAAAGTGCATTTTGTCGACCGGCGACAACAAAAATTGAGTCGTTAGAACATCTCATTTGACTTTGAAATCGACGACGACCATTATAATTTTCTTCAGATGGGATTTATGGCGACGTTAATGATTCGAGTTGCGATTTTGACACATTCGATTAAATTCAATCTCGATAAACTAGTGCCCAAATTTGGCATAGAGACAATCTCTCTACTCACTTAAAAATCAGTTCACGAAAGTGCGTCCAGTCTAAAATCTAAGAATCGGTCATTAAAATGAAAATATCGGTATTGTGCTCTATATGGCACAAATTTCTAAAATAGTATTTGATTGTTTTTTTTTTTTTTTTGAAAATAAATAAACTGGTCTAGATCGCTGACATATTTGAAATGCGTTCCCCGTTGTAATCATAAATACAAATAAAACTTGTACTCAACATACGGACGTTGTATTTCACTTATTCTCCTTATAAATATGAGACCATATATTTATAGGGTAACGTTCATATCGAGACATAAGAGGAGTGTTTTCTCTGTTTTACCAACTTTTTATTCTTTCCTCAATTTGTACAGTCTCGTACAAAATAATGACATTGATCAAAGAACATTCCATGCCGCATACCAATATCAACAAGTGTATGTCTATAGATAACTACACATTAAATATCTTAGAAGTTGCTTACAAAAAACACAAATCGGCAGCTCATTTAATTATACTCTATATGATTTTTCAAATGTAGCCAAAATCAACTCCGACCTCAAACATTTTTCACAAATCACACTTAATAGCAGACTACACTATACTACATCCTGACTTAATTGAAACGACTTGTAATTATAGACTTGTTTAAATACTGACAACATTAGCATATTTTAAATTACGTCAAACCCAATCACGTGATTTGACTAACGCGACATCTGTAGCGCACACACAAAACTAAACATTTTGAAAACTGCACAGCGTTGCCAGGTCTGGTGAAATTTCACCAGATCAGGTGATTTTTGTGATTTGGTGAAAACTTTTGTAAAAATTCTAATTTCTGATGATTTTTGACTGTAGTTCTAGCACATTATTAATTATTTGCCCAAATGTTTGTAAAATTAACTTTTTTGATTTGATTTTTTAATTATTGATATTGATACTATTACTTTTTTGTATTTCTTTGAGCATTTTGCACGTTTTTTAGCATGCAGAAACTCAAATGGTAAATTTTCTCAAAAACAAGTTGAAAAAACGAGAGATAGTTTTTATTTTCTAAATGATATTTCACTCAACAAGGTAAAAAAGTCGCTAAAATTGGTCAAAAAGTACATTATTTAGTCCATTTCTGAGCGTTTTAGTAGGTAAGTTTTTAGCCAGAAACAAAACTATTTTGGAAAATTTCGTTAGAAACAAACCGAAAATTTATCAAATTAGGCCAAAACTAGTATTATTTTTGTATTTCTAGAGTGTTTTTTGCTAAAACTGACTGAAAAATTACCAAATGAGATTGAAATTGATCATTTTAGTGTGTTTCGTTCGATTAAGGTTTGTTTTTGAATCAAAGACTCATTTATTTTGTAGGATATTGTCAAAATCCAATAAAAATAAATCTAAACTGATGTTATTTTGTTTGTTTTATTCGATTTAGCTCTTTTTGAACAAAATTTTGTCAAAAAAATAGGACGAAAAATACAAAATATAATCGAAAATGATATTAATTGCAAGAACTTGCTAAAATAAATCAAATTAAGTCATAATTTTTGAATTTATCAATTGTTTTAGCATAATTTGGTGTCAAATTTAATATTTAATTTGGCAACCTTGACTTTCAAATTCAAACGTCAAACTTTTATACGCAGTTATTGCTGATTTAGCCGTCACTCGAAACATTCTGATATAACAAATTTAAAAGAATTACCACTAATTGTCAATAGATTTTTTGTCACCCAATATTTCGCAAAATTTAATTAAAAATTAGCCAAAAAATTATAGAATTAGACTAAATGAAATAGTGTATTTTTTAAGTTTTCGAGCGTTTAAACACGTTTTTGAGCAGAGTTACGAAATTTATGTAAAATACGTGAATCTTCGACAGTATTAAAAAAAATTAAATCATTAATTTTTGTAATCGGTGAAAATAGGCTACATCTGGTAACTTTTCAACTCCTATCTGGTGAATTTAATTGTTTTGAGCTGGCAACAGTGGAACTGCAGATTAGCCAAAAACCACAATTCGAAACCAATTTACAAATAACTAGTGATTCCAATTATGAAATTGGTGCACTTTTAGTTACATTTCCGTGTAAAACAAGACGTAAATAAATGACTTACTTACCTGACCTGATAGTTCCGCCCCTTCTAAACACATTTCCGCGCCGCCGCTGGTTAATCATCACTTTCCCACAGCCCAAACTAAACACTTTTCAATTATTTATGGCATATTTATAATTTTTTTAAAAAATTTTTGTGTGAAGAAAAACTAACATGGCGTCTTTTTCTTTTTTTATCAAACTTCAGCTTCACAATAATATTTTTTTAATTATATTAAATTAATTGAATTGTGTCAGAATAAATATTTTAGTATCGATTATTGTATAAAAATATTTTTTTTGGTCATCTTCTTCCCGAAAATATTTTTTGCATTTTTTGACTTCACACATTTCCTATATTTTGAAAATTTCATTTAAAAAATGAATTGCAACTCGATCTTTGTTTCCCTCGAAATGCCTTTTTGTGCATTTTTATGGTAATGTGAGTAGATTTGGGTGGTTCGATGTCGAAAAAAAGGCGGAAATTCTAAAAATACAGCTCGTCCGTAGCGCACCTGCTACTACTCCTCCACGAAACGTAACATCAATCAAAGCCAGGGACCGGAGATACGATCATCTGATGAAAGAGAAACCATCCAAACCTAACAGTCTAAAAAGCGATAGAAAGTAAATTCTCCCCGTAGATGAAGCGATAGCGTGTCGGAGGGCCGTTTCAAAAATCGCCGAAATATAAATTAAACAAAATTATTCCCACAGGTCTCCTTCCGCATACGAATTGTTCCTTTTTTGCGATTAATTCCCCGTTTCCGGCCGTCGAACCGGAAATCGACTATTGTTTGTTTTTTTTCTGATAAAGGTCCAGTTTGAGAAACGGTAGTGTGATAACAAGTGGTCACTTATGAAGAAACAGTTAAAAAACGGGATGGTATTGAAAGGTCTCTCACCCAGGAACAATTATGTGATAACACTAATCACTTAAAAATTGTTTTGTTGGCCTTATCTTATCAAAAAACGCACCGCAAACAATGAAACACTGGTTAGAAAATATGAATTTATTTAATTGTTTAATTTTAGGCAGTTGAAAAGCTTCCAAATGGGTCTTTTTTCGCATTGAGAAGCGCCACGGAACTTTCACAAATCTTCTCTAGGATTTCTCCCAATTTCTCTTTGGAATACACCTGCAATCAATCAATTAGTGTTAATTCCCAATCAATTATTAACATACTTTGTAAAGTTGGTATTTTTCCGTTGCTATTAAATCGGCCAATTGTATGGCTTCTTCGTGCAAACCTGACTCATTTAAAACCGAATACAATAACAAAACTATTTGAGGAATACAAACTGATCTGAGATACTCAGCATCATCCCCTCCCACAAGCCACCCCTCAGGAAACAAAAGAACATTATACAATAAAGTTTTGGCCCTTTTAGCCGAATGCGAAGTCGTCAATTTCCACCTTTCCGTCTCAGCATTAAACTGCGAAACTTTATGATCATGAGCAACCTTCTCAGTAAACTGCGCATTTTCCGGAAGTTCCGGTGGCGGCATCGGCTTATTCCTATACTGTCTAAACCACTCGTTAAACGCCTCGTGCGCATCCAAATAGGCTTTATAACTCAAATAATTCTTAACAATTTGATGAATCTCATCCGAAGCTTCGTCCCGGATTTTCTCGACTGAATCGTACGGAATTTTATTAATAGCCAATTGCGCCGCTTCCAATTTTCCCAAAATCAAAAATTTAAATATAAGTGAATTGGTTTGAGCCAAAGCTTCGGCGCGTTGCTCCTCGTAAAACATGAGCCAATCAATAGCCGAGATTTTCAGTTCGTCGATTTCAGTGATTTTGCGCTGAAGATTGCCGGGAAGTTCAGATTCAGAAGGACGGTTTGTTATACTTTCAACGATTCGATGAGTTATAGCAAACACGTCCAAACTGAAGTCTTCAGCGTAAGTGAGAGCGTTTTTGCGTTGCTCAGAAGAGAGGAGTTTTTCGCAGTGTTTGGCATAGAGGTAGATTTGCTTGCTTTTGCCGAGTTTGCTCACGTAGAAAGCCACGAGTTGGGTCTCGTTCATTTCGCTCACACGATCGATATATCTAAAAAAACGCCTGTCTTAAGTCGAGTTATGCAACCAATTATATACTTACGTTTCTACGATTTTTTCGCACGTTTTTCTGTTAGTGGAGTCTCCAACACTTTCGAAGAATAAAACTAAATGAGCATAAAATCTAAGAGATTGTGTTGAAACTCCTGGATCTTCACTCCATTTCTCTAAAAGATGTATCAATGTCGGAATTTCGTCTAAAATGACAAGTTTTTGAATTACATGATCGATTTCATGTGCTTCTTTTGCAACGTCACTGTTTTTAGAGGCTTCTAGAATCGTAAAAATTTCACTCAAAGATTTCCTAAAACCACAAATTAATTTCTTTAGCTTACAGTCGTCTTATACAACTTTTGTTCCCAATATTCTTCAGGTAAAGGTACGTAATTTTTGATGATAGAGTCGCGAATTTCTGATTCGACTCGAATATCAACCATTGTTCGCAAATAAGCCCATAAATGATCCTCCCAAGTGGTACAAACTGGTAAAATCGCGTCCAAGTAGCCACAAAGACTACCAACTGCTGCTTTTTCATAAATGTTTAAATTTGACTGAAATTTTCAAGTAAGTAGAATTTTTCAGAATTGAAAAAACTTACTTTTCGACAATAATCTAAAGCGCAGGATTTCCACAAGTCACGCTTGTGGTTACCTTCAACGTCTTTATACTCTTCTTGGGTTTTTTCAAAGTTGGGATTGTGGTAAAGCTTCCAACCTTCTAACATCGCAGCCCTCCATGGATGTCCACTATTGTAACACAACTAAAATATTTTTTTAATTATTGAAACAATGAAATGGTAAAAAACCACCTCTTGAGCCCCTTCAAGGTTCCCACACCTAATTTCCATAAAAATCCTCTGACATAATTTCTTATCGTTGTCGTGATCCAAGTGATGTAATGACAATCGTTGAAATTGGGGCGCATCTGGATGAATATCCTTGATAATATCCACATTACTCCCAATAACAATAGCATCAGGTGCTAGCAATTGATGTAAAGTGTGTTCCCATCCATAAGTCCAATCCGAATGCATCAAAATGGGGTCCCCCTTCTCCAGTGCATTCCTCTCAAGCCAATCAATCACCAATTGACTTTCCCTAACCAAATTCTCTCTTTTAAACAATTCAAAAATACATTTCTTCTCGCTCCTTCCAAAATCCTCCTCAAACTCTTCCTTACTCTGGCTCTGGGCCTGAATCCGGTCCTGATACAACACATAAAGCAGTCGCCAATTATTCCTCTCATTCTCAAGCCATTTCTCTTCTGCTAATTCACCGGTGGTCACTTTAGCCTTTAAGGACTTAATCACGGCTAAAGCATCACTGCAGCACCTTGCAAAATCTTCGGCAACGTCGAGAATATCAAGCCCCCCGGTGCACCCCTGCAAGATATCCGCAAATTCCGTGTATAAATTATTGACGGTGTTTTTCCACGGGGCTCCTGCTTGGACCACCGACCCCGTGATGGTTTTATCAACGTCAGCAAATAAAAACACACTGTCTTCGTAATTTCGGTATTCCAAGGTAGGAAAATCGTCGGCATTCACTGTTAAGCTGAGTTTCCTGTGCTTTGGGGTTGCTGTTGAAACCTTGAAGAGGCCTTTGGTGGGCGTCTGGAGGGCATCTTCCAGAAGACGAACCGAGCGTTCTAAATCATTATCCATTTTTTAGAAAATTACAAAAACTTTAGAAAAAAACCGTTACATAACCTCAAAAAACAACACCGGTACTCAACAAAATCCCTAGATTTAAGTTGGTATTAAATTTTCTCCGACATTCACTTATTTCAAATTATTGCGCCTTTTGTGTTGTGTGCTTTTTTTTGTGTTTTGTGGCTCAAATTGCAAAAATAAGGTAAAAAAGCAGTCAAAAGTATAATTTAATTTAATCTAACAAATTGTGGGCAAAAATTTTCTTATTTATAGACATCTTGGTGGACCTTTTAGGAACAAAATAAGGTAAGTTGCTTATTGTTTTTTAATAAAAAAATAAAATCATTGATATTACATATTTTCAATAATTTATTGAATTATGTTGTAATTTTTCCTAGTACCTATTCATTTGTTTCGAATTTTTGCGTCTGTTTGTATCGAGAGATCAAGAGAATTTGTAATCGAGTCATCTTTGGATCCAAAAACGTATGTCTGTTTTTGAACTAATTGCACGTGAAACGTCAGATAAAATGACACGATTATTAAAGTCTGTTTTTTTTTAATGGAAATGCCTAACCGTCTTAACGTAGGCATCACTAGTAAATTCATTAATGGTAATTTTAATAAAGGAAGTTGGCAGTTCCGGTTTTTTGAATGAATTTGAAAACAATGTCATTAAACGTCAACACAAAAAATCGTCTAAGAAAATTTAGAGACGAAGCACCAAAAAAGAAACAAATTCGGTACACTAACAGTTTTTCGAAATTTGGAAACGAATAGTTCGCAAACAGGAAGTTAGAAAAAGGCCCCGTTAAAATGTAGACGCAATTTGTAATGTAGGTTTGCTAAACATTCTTAATTTTTATCAAAAAATTGACAAGAATACAAAATAAACATGAATGATAACGAATCTAGGCAATTAAATTAGTGTCTTGTGCATCGTTTTTGAGGAACGAGTTGAAAAAGTAACAATTTTGAAACTAAAGCTGAAGAAGCATTTATAAAATGCATCAACTTTGAACTCATTTCAATAAATTACACAAAATTTATTGTCAATCATCATAATACCCACTTGTATCTTTTGCTAAATAACTTTTTTCCCGTATATACATCCTTTTTCTTCAAAGTTTTTGTAGCAAAAATCTCATTTTTGTCCACAACATTGTTTGCTTACTTGCGGTGTGTTTCTGTCAAAATTATTAGCACTGAATTCTGTCTTTAGACCTTAGGTAATGATGTCTGTCCTCGGGTATTCAATTATAGCGCTTTCAAAGGACAAACAGGCACACAAGATTAATAAAAGTCAAAATTTTGACAACATCTCAATTTGAACACATAACCATAATTTTTTAACAAAATTTCTAGGGACAAAAACAAAGAGCAAACAAAATTTGTGGCTATGGAGACAAGCTGCTACCAATTTTTTCACCAAAATTTTGACTTGGTAATTTCCATTAAAACAAAAACAGACTTTATGTTAGATGCATGTTTTTTTTTATCAGTTCTTATGTCGTTTTTATTTAAAATAGCTGAAAGTACATTGAAAAAGTAATAAATAGGTTTGTGGCACTTTTTTGAAGTATTATTCATGATTTTAATATTTTATCGCGTCTGCGCATGTTTTATTATTGTTTTTTTTGGCTAAATTGTATGGTGCGAGAAACAACTTTTTTATCTTTATTTTTATTAAGTAAMTTTCGTTGGTAGCTTAAACTCTTTGAATAAACACTATAATTAAATATTATATTGTACTAACTTGTTGTAATAAATACTCGTTATTAGCACTAGTCTAAGCTTATAAAAGAAAATAAATATTTCAACACACATATGAAGTACAATCTTATTCAATAGTAACAATATAAGGTATAAAAAATAGTTAAGTAGTCTTTGCATTATTCAACAAACGAACACTTTTTTGTCTTATCAGCTAGAGATCACAGATGTTGCCAAATCAAAGGCACTAAAAACACGAGTACGTGTCCATTTCTCACATCCATCTCTAGGAAAAAGAAAAATCATAATTTGGTTCTGTACACTTCCATTTGTACATCCTGAGAAAAAGCGAGATTCGTATTTCCGCTCTTTTTATCCATGCTGGTGGCACTTGCCGAATGGTTCATTGATTCATTTCTCGGTCTTTTATGTTTGATGGTTTTCTCTGCATAACGTCGTTTTTTGCCAGGGAAAAAGTTGGCCATCTTTCGAGCAATAGGATGAATTAATTCTTGATCATACAAATCGCTTTCGCTACCCGTAAAATAGGAAACAGTCCAACCGATGAGTATGGAAATGAAGCATCCGATGAGAGAGTAGTACATGTAGGTTACTGAATAAAGTTGAGTCAAAGGGTCTCTGTAATAAGGGAAAATTGTGAGGAAAAAAGGGGTAATTTTCGGGGGAAATACGTACGAAGGTGCCGCTCGTGTGGTGTTGATGACGTCGAGGGAAAAGTTTCCCGTGTTATTGATGGGTGCGGAAGTTGTCGTCGTAAAAGTCCAGTATGCCGACTGGTGTTCCGGCTTTAAAATATGATCGTTGAAGGACGTGTTTGTGCACCCTTCAGTTGATAAGGGTAGATGTGGGGATGGTGGTTTTTCTATTGTTAATCTTCCAAATGTTATCCAAAGAGTAACTAAATGACCGGCAATCACGCCGGTTGAAGCTCCCTAAAAATCAAGTTTTGTTGATTTTGATGAGTTGATAAAAACTTGGCGACTGTTTTACATATGATTTATTGTTAGTTATTGGGAATTTATGACATGAAATGTCAACTTTCGTGTTTAACGGGCTCGAAATTTTGGAAACAATTTTAATTTATCATATGGGAGTTTACAGGAGGGTGAGATATAACCTGACAAGTGATTCATATTTTACGATGTTGGAGTGATGTGGATTAAGTATCTTAGGATGCTGTGAAGTTGCAACTTAATATTAAAGCAAGGGACAAACTAATAAAGGTGGATGTTGAAATGTGCAGAACTTGACAAACGATAGATTATAACATGGGCGCCCAGAGACTTTAATATGTATTTTTTGTTTATGCACCCATTGCATATTGCAACAACTTTTAGTTGTTTTATGTAACTTTGAGACATCGATCCAATAGGCATTAGTGTCTATGACAAAGTTCCTAATTGCGAGAGCGATTTTCGCATAAAGGAGCAATCAATCTAATTCGAAATTTATCAATCAAATTAGCGTTTCTCTCCCGGATGTGAATACGTTTCAGGACATTTGCAATTAATAATTCCAGGGACAATCGAAGCCGCCGCCTCTCTCTGTACACATAATCTCTCTGCACGAATCCCCAACTTCCCATTCACAGAGGAATCGATGTTAACAGAAGCGACTTAACGGCTGTTCGTGATGTATATTTCATCGTTGCCATCACGAGCAAGAGAACGTTATGTCGCATTAAAAACTAAAATAGGACTTACTTTCCAGTTGGTGCAGGGTATCAACAGGGCCATTATGAAAACTCCTAAGAGAGGTCCTGAAGTGGCGGAGGTGACCAGCATAGATGATTCGATAACACCGTCTAAGAGGCCCACTCCGAAACTGATTCCCATGATAACAAATCCATAGAGAACTCCGATAGCTTTGATGGTATATAGCTGATGCTTGTCCTTCAGTCCCTTCAAGAACGGAATCGGTTTGAGGAAATCTTCGAATGTAACGGTGGCCAGAGAATTCAGATTAGACACATTCAAACTGAAACGAAATTCTTTCTAGAGAATTCCAACAGATTCACTTTGGGGATGAAAAAAAATTTACATAAATGACGTGACGTTATACGTTATCAAAAACTTCTAAAACATTTCGCTCTAAAAGAAACTGAAATCTAGAGATTATAAAAATTGCATGAATAAGATGAAAGGCCAATCAAAAGAAGACTCCCAACTGTCTAAGTGAAGTGCAGCTGTAGTCTCGAATCGAATCGAAACCAACACAATGCGCAACTAGATTCAATTCACTGTGTTTCAATTTAAAATTACAGAAAGCTGTAAGTAATGCATGTTTAGAAAGTTTGAAACACAAATTAACCGCAACCTTAAGCACTCAGTTGCTTGCATAACGCATACGAAGTAAACTTGTCCAAATTCGTTACTAAGAGGATCTAAAACTTATGTAAAGCGGTTTAAACTTGTTATTCCATGTCCATGAAAAGAGTGAAAAACGCGACATGCTTATATCAAAAAAATCCGACTTACCTTAATGCTCCGTTGAAAAGTGAAGCCATAAACAAACCGAGTATACCAGGCAAATAGTTGAAACGATCTTCGACAAAAAAGGGAAGTACTTCATCGTATTTTTCTATATAACCGGAGGTATATGGATCACACGAAGCATACGTTGCATAAACAACCATTCCCACAACCCAGGATAAACTAAACAGGACAGTGATTACGGGGATGTTACACATGAGAGTCCTAAAAGAAACAAAACACTCATTTTTTTGTGGGTTGTAAATGTGCGAAATTTTTCGTACTTTGTTACTTTTTTTTGTGAATCCATACTACAGTAGCGTTGTACAAAGTTCTGTTGGCAACCGAATATTGACAAAGACATGAAAAGCTGGCCGATCAGTGCAGATGTCGTGGTTACCCTTATCGTTGGGTCCATGCTGAAACTGATTGAAGTATCCAGAAATTAATTTTTGGGGATGAGAAGGGGGAGGTTTTTGTTGAGTGTCTGAGTGGAGATGAGAAATGAATCGATCAAGTGGAGTAGAAGAGATTGTTGAAGGTCAGACGATATGATAGTAGAACTCATGGGCGCCGACTACATTGACAAATGGAAATAATGTACTCTGGCTTAAGGTAAAAAAAAATAGTTAAATAGTAATATGTAATACCTATTTGGAATTTCGTGTTACTCCTAATCTTTTTTTAATTAAATTTCCTATTTTTCTATTTTCCCTTTCAAGGAAATGGATCAAATTTGTCGTTTATGTTATTCTATTTTGTTTTTCCATGTTTCAAATTAATTCACAATTAAGTTCTTTAGTGAAAAAACTCACTGAAAAAATATTTCTTATTATCATAAAAATTTCAAAACGACAAAACATTTTACATAAACCTTTTACTATTCCAAAAAATTTAGAGAACAAAAAATTCTTACATTTTTGATGACTTGAAATCGCAGCTCAATGAAAAATGGTTGTATTTAGACTTAAAAAATCTATATTTTTTTTAGTTTCTAGTCTTGAAATTATTTGGATTTTTTTATGAGCTACAGTTATTACGTAATCCTAAGAAATAGCGCGAGAAAAAATTGTATTTTTTTATTCTTTTTTTTAGTCCACGGTCTTATAGATTTTTTTTTATTAATTAAATTAATACATGAGCCGGACAGCTTGTTCATTCAGCTTTTTTATGTTCTCTTGACGACAACACTTTTAATGAAAAAGAATCTTTTTGTCTTTGATCATCGATATCTCAGGAACCAATGACCGCAGACAGAATGTAAGGAGAGTCTCAAAAACTGGAATAAATTAACGATTTTTTGAGAAAAAAGTTTTATCTGTAACATTGATTTAAAGAAAAGAGAAAAAAGTTACTTTTTTGTTGTTGTAGTAATGTTAAATTTAAAAATAAATATTTGAAAAAAGTTAAAAAATATATTTTTGGAAATAAAAAATCAAAAAGCAATACTAACCAATTTTTGAGACCATTTATTTATTTCCGATTTTTTTTTTAAATTGAACAGGAGTTTTTCAAAACTCAACAATTTGAAGCATTTTGCAACTTCGAATATGACTATTTTTTTGACACTTTTTATTGCAAATGTTATTTATTGATTTTTTCTTTTGTATTATACAAAAAATTATATAATAAATACAATAAATTCCACAAACATAGGGAAAACGAAATCGTTTTTTCGCGTAATTGTTCTCAAATCCTGTAAGTTATACCAATTTTTTATTTATGCACCCAATAAAAGTATGAAAAGTCGACGCCCATGGTAGAACTAATGAGGAGTGAAGAAGTGTCATAACAAAAGAAATCTTTTGTAAAAAGCTTTTCGGTCTTAGTAATTAATGTATGTTGCAAGATAAAATAGGATGGTTAAAGTTACGTCCTTGTTGGCTTGGTTTAGGATATTAGAGAAGCGAGAGGAAAGACCCTTCACATAATTATTTTTCGATTTTCTGAATAATTAATAGTGCGCATTATATTTTCAATTTAGTTTTTGGTTGTAATAATGAATAAATAATGTCGGGCGTGAATATGATGTACTCGTAATTTTCGCTTCGAGTCGAAACCAACGGTTTCGCTGTACAGAGAAAATTATTGTCAAAAGTTGAAGCAACGTCGAGTGTAAAACGCTCAAAGAACAAAATAATTTTCCTTAATTTATCGTCACAAACATCACCAACTGGGCGGTACAATATTATTTTAATCCGTTATTGAAATGCGTCTTCATTAAACTCGGCGTCAACTTTTCGCCAAACTTTATAATAAAGGCACCGAGTTGTAACTCGGCCGTAGTTTAAAAACTCCCAACCAAGAGATAAATTAAAATAATTAAATTCGAGATTGTTGGATTTACGACGCGCTGCTTCATTTGTGATCATTTCTATACACTTACTTGAGGAAGTCCAGTCTGCCGTCGGCTTTGTTCCTCTCGAAAACTGCACCAAAACCACCCACTTCGATACAACCCTGGATTATTATTGCGAGGCTCACTGCGATCATTGTTAATCCTTGCATTACGTCGGCAAGAATTGCTGCTTTCAGGCCTCCCTGAAAATGAAAACAGAATGAGACACGAAAATGAGTTCTGAAAAGAGCGGCCCTTCAATCGTTCTCTTCTCGCTCTTTATCGTGTCATAAGCGTCGAAAAGAGGAACTTTCCTCGTTACCTTATTGTTATATACATTTTTATTTTAACGCTCTATTCGAGAGAATTACACTTGCTGACATTTACATTTTCCAAATCGAGAAAAACAAACTTTCAATTTCAACAAAGTAACTAATTTAGAAACGATTTAGACTTAGCGCTACCTTAGTAACTATCGAAATGATAAAATTTATCTAATGTTAATTTGTTCCAGAAACTGGGCATTAATTTTATTAAATTACTGGGCTCTAGTGCTAATAAAACTACAATGACAAAATTAAAAAAAAAACATTTCCTTTTTATTGTGCTCGTTATCGCGCAAACTGTGTAATATTTACGACTTAATTAACTGTAATTCAAGTTGGAAAAAGTCTAAATTTAGACAATGCGGGAATATCTATAGTAGGAACGAAAGATGGCGTTGACGAAATCGTCATGCCTTCCGCATTTTTCATTCGTCCCAATCTTTAAAGGAATTCCTTCGAGTTTAATAAAAACGACTCTTAAAATTTACTCATGACTGATACCCAAGTAATTTTGTTTCTAAATCAAGCAGAAAATCGTCCAAGCGGGAGAAAAAGGAAAATATTTTACCGGCGCCCATGATGAGCGTTCTCAGCGTATTAGACTTCCTCACGTCGTCTTTTTTTTAGTTTTTTTTTTCAAAGCCGCACAATATTAAAAAAAGGACGCCCCGTGAATGACAATGAATCTTATATATCGATTATAAAGGTGAACACGAAAAAAGTTTGTAGTTTACGCCCTGCCTCATATAACTGCAGATATAATTAAAATATGCATGAACTCATTACGCCCTCGTCATGAATAATGCACATTTCAGCGGCTAAAGCTTCTTAAAGGAAAGTTTGAAGCGAGTAACCGAAAGATCCGACCTTTGCGAACTAGGACCTTAGCTGTGTGAAACTAAGTGGTCAGTATAATACTCGAATGTTCATAATATTCCAAGTTCAACAACTTTGGACCTGGATATTTGCATATTGGATAAATATGGTTCACTTGCTAAACAATCGATTTAATAAAAATGGGGCGTACGATTTCGCAAAAAATCAAACATCAAAAATTCTCAGGTAATTATTTTCTCTGCGTTTTAATTAATTTTTGCGCTGGCGGTTGGAAATTGCGTTTCCGTACTTATCGCTTTTAATATAAACCTAAAGCTATCGGTTGAAAAGAGGCTGAAAGTGGCACTTTTTTGATTAAAACTAGTCGAGAGGATTCTCACGTTAATTTCACAGTTGAACACTTAAGTTTAGCAGGGATCGAAGAGGTAAATATTGTCGTCCTCTGGTAGAAATTTTGTGCACAAGATTGGGTGTCAAAATTGAACAATATTTACTTAATTGCCGTCTTGCAGTTGGAAAAAATTAAAATGCACAATCAATCTAAGTGGTTCGCACGACTCCCGAATAATTTTATGTAAATTTGTATTACGAGCAAAGTTTGGACTTATAAATATGTCTCGTATTTACATATCGTATTAAAAAGTTTTTCTTTTTTTGCATAAGCTCGAAGTTTGTTATTGTTTCCTTGTCAGATTTTCTCCCAGTTTTAAATCGATGAAGCGAAGAAGTGAATTTAATATTAATCGTTTTTTAAGTCTAACAACTGTCTAATATAAGATTCGAGTATGACGTGAATGAAAATTGATGGTGATATTATTGCGCTTCTTAAAATTTACTTACCAAAATTGTAAAAATAACACTGACGAGAGTAATACTGAAGATGGAGGCCCAATAAGGTATACCGATAACGGTATTGAGGGCGACGCAAGGGGTGAAGACTGTGACACCTTGATTTAGGAGCTGCCTTACGATGTAAGTTCCCGATGCCAAACATCTGACTAGGCGAGATTTGAACCGAAGATCCAAATATTGGTAGACTGAGGTAATTCCTAAACTGAAATATACCGGTACGAAGATGAAACATACGATGGGATAAGCCAGGACCATCCCGTATAGAGTCTCCCACATTGTGCTTCCACGATAGAATAATTCAGACGGATATCCTGAAAAAGATTTGTAAAAATTTCGAGTCGGTTATGCTCGAATAAGATCAAGTTTTGTTCTTGCTAGAAAGTTTCATGGGTAGTTAGTTAAAGTTTAGCGAATTTGTCTCAACTGTCGTAAACCAACGCGAGTTAATGAAAAAAATATGCAATAAGCAACTAAAAGAAACAAATTGCAAACATAAATTCGTTTCTTTCTCATATGTGTGGGAAAAAGTTGCCATTTATTAATTTCTATTGTGTCATAATAAAGAAAGAGGGTGTGGCGGGCGAAAGAGGCAAATATGGCGTCGTCGCATCGAATGTGTGGCAGTTTGATGGATATATTCTCGTCGAAGGATTTAATTTGGGTTTTAGATTTTTTCCTCGAGTGAAATACGGTCCGATATATCTTGAGTTTTGTAAAAAAATTTCGACACGTGTATGCAATTACTCACTTGATCCAATTCGAGCGACTAAATGAAAGGTTTTTTTGGCTGTACTTACCCAAAAATGATCGAACACCAAGAGTTCCTCTCGCTATACTCAGCATCATAGCGGCCATGGAAACTTTGCCAGCAGCAAAAACAAAATCGGCCTTTGTCTTCTCTTTAGGACCAAAGAAACGAGAATAGACGGCGACAAAGGTGCTTGCTATTACAAAAATCACAAAGACCAGATAGTCCCATATCATACTTTTTGCGTCTTTCGACATTGTCGGGCCGTCTTTCCAACTTGGATCTGTTGATTTATAGGTTCTGGAAGAAGGGGGAACATTTTTATATCTTGCTGTAATTAAACTTCCGATGTCTTTTCCGATAGTTTATAATACTTTGATCCGGTTTGAATTCAACTTTTCTTAGCCATTTTCAATCAATTCTTTTTTAAGTGCAAGCTTTTGGCAACGAGTTTACGATAATGTACTAGTCCACTTAGAAACACTATTCTAGTTAGGGTCGTCTCATGAGTCCTCAACAACAACAACAACAAATATAACATCAGCAACACCTGTGATTCACGAAAATTACAGGACTTTGGAAACAACCCTTTTAAACACAAATAATTGTTATGTTTTGATGGTTTGTGTTCTCTAGAGTGTCAAGTTTTTGGTTTATTGAATGTGTGTAAAGAGGTCAGTTACGATTGTTCAAAACAACAAAGATAATAAGAGTAAAAATAACAAATCCAGAGATACGAGTTACAGTATCATGTTTATATAATTATATACTGAATGACCACGTGATGAATAATTCAAAACGAACCAAAAAGTGTGAATTACCTTTATTTTATGATATGCAAATATGAGATAAACGCTTGAGATTACTCATTTATAAGAAGCTTCCGTTTTCGTTCTTTGTTTTAAATTTGCACATTTCATTAAAACATTTCGTTGTGAATACAAAGAGTATATTAAATGGCAAAAAAGCAAACACGTTAATACCAGCTCGGAAAGCTGCATTCTAGCCAAATCTCTTTCCTTTAGCAAAAAATAGGAATGGGATGAAAGAGTGAACGTTTCAGAAGACAACTAACTGGAAGTTAAAATACGTTTGTGCATACAACATGCTTTTGTGCGAGTTTACTTCAACTACAAGTGTCGCAATTTTTCAACAAATCTTCAAAGTAATTTTTTCGATTGCTTGTAGTGTTATGAAAAAATAAGGTCAGAATTTAGCTTGAAGCTTTATTAATTACTAACAACTATGACTCGTTCTTTTAGTTGTAGATTTGAGTTGCGTTTACGTAAATATAAACTAGGTACTACCTTGGAAAGTTTAATAATTTGACCTGAATGTTTTAACTCCAACACGGTATATAAATTCATTTCCGAACCATTCGTTCTTTACTGAACGAAAAATTACGCAAACTGATTAAAACACGTGCTTTATTATCATTTGGCGTGGGTTCAAAAAGATATTTTCGGTTCGACCTCAACCAATAATGAATCAATCGTCAATAATAAACCATTAAACAAGTTACATACTAGTTTATTGTGTGGCAATTTATCGTCGCAATTTCGGCGAAAACTATCGCCTAAAAAAAGTCGTGTTATGCTAATTTTACTCGTGTTGTGACTGGACATCTAAAAACAGGATTGGCAAAAGACTGGTATATTTTCATTTCCCTTTTCTTCGTCGCAAATCAACTATTTATAAATGTTGCCTACTCACTACTCACCCGTCACAAAACTAGTAAAAACATAAAGGGTGATGGTACTCGAAAAGAATCGCAGCTTCAGCCTGGAGCAAGTGGCAAAAGGTCAGGAGGGCTCCAGCGGTCGCACTCTTGGGCCGTGTTGAATCGAAGAACGGTATACAGCCAGGCGCAAAACTATTGATTATCAAATGTCACTAAGAATTCGCGACAATTAATTGAATACTGTGTATGGTAGAGCAGGAAAAATGAACTATCTCCTGGTCAGGTCGCGACCGAACTATCTCCCACCATGAAATCGAAGAGCTTTTAAGCGACGACTGAAAAAATATTTTTCGAGCGACTGTTTGCGAAGGGATTTTTTTTGTTTGATGGCGAGAGGAAAAAAATACAACACGGCCGGATTCGCGGTATATATCGACTGTACCGTAATGAAGAGTGGATCTAAACAACGAGATGGAACTCGTTTGGCTTAAACAGGAACAAAAAGTTGAACATGTGCCCGAGGCATGATGGAAAACAGTCTAGAGTGCTTCGGTGCGTTGCTTTACTCGGACATCACTATAATTAGAATGATTCGAAAAGAGATCTTCTTTTGAGACTTTTTGGAACTGCTGGTCGTACTACCAATGATGACGCGGAGCGCACAATTTATGCGACATTTCAAGGTGAAAATGAAGATTCGATTTTACGTTTCCGCAATAAACAAGCAGATTTTGGAGTTTGCTAACCCTGGAAACACTCTTATTTTCTTCTATTTAAATTCAAATTTTAGATATCTTAATGAAATCACTTGTTTGGGAAACCGCAGAGTGCAAAGGTTGTTGGTAATCTCTAAATGTAAATATCGCGAGATTCTTCTTAATCTCTTTAAACGAAAACGTGATTTCAGCACGTGATGTTCACAGTTTTACCAAATTCTGGTATTGTTTGTCAACGTATAATTGACGTCAAACGAATTAAATTGATACATTATTTGGACTAATATTTGACATTTTCTTAAAACCGGTATATACCACTTTGACTAATGACTCAATCCAAGCTAAGAAGCAAATAAATATTTGAAATATGTCTCGTGCGATTTTTTCGAGACTTGGCCAGATTTACAAAGGAAAGTTTGCTGACTTTTGGATCGACTCCAGAAATTCAATGGTAGCAATAAATAAAAAAAAATATCAATTTTTTTCTGAAACAACAAAAAACCTATATAATTAATAGAACACTATCAACAATTTTTTTTATCGGTCATGTGAGTTAATGGTAATGGTGATTACCTTTAATTTAGAACGAGTTGGGATAATTCGCCCCTCATTTACCTTCAAATTACCGAACAAACAGCGTATTTGAACAGCAAACCAGCGATAAGGCCGAAACCAAATTTCTCCCTGATCGTTGGCACGATTTCAGTGTTTTTTATTTCGTTTGAATTTTTTTTCTTTTGGCAAGCAATGACGAAAGTGCAAAGTCCAGCCTTCCTACTTATAAATATTGCAATGTCGAATGTAGGTTCGTTTTTTCGTTTCGAAAATCTGTCGAAATACATGCACTTTTCGATATTGTGGTTAGTAACCGTGCTTAACCTTGAAAAGAATGTACACAAGGTCGCTCGACAACCTCATCTTGTTTTCACGATGTAATGAACTTAAATTCTTATTATTAAACGAATGTTTGTTTATTTTACCGTAAACTTAATTGTTTTTCTTTTGTTGAAGAGATTTAATGAACTTGTTCATTATGATCATTAATCATTTTTTCTCTTTCATTCTTTCACTTTTGATAATAATTAATTCCGGTCTAATTATGATCCAATTCTTTTATTTTTGCAAAAATATGATATCATTGAGGTTTTATTTCTCAGAAATTTACATTAAAGAATGTTTTCTTGAAAAAACGAAACTTGAGTACCTTTAAAAGTTAACGACTAGTTTAACAAGGTAACGTGATCCTCTTTTGATGTTACTGATGTAAGTATTGAAGCTCTTAGATCAAACTTTTGAACATATTCACATATTTGAAAAATAGTATTTTTCAGGCAATTGCAAGAGCTTTCATTTGCTCTACGATTACATAAAACGTTGAAGCACATTAAATATTCAAGGATTATGTATTGAAAAATCCTCTTTTAATGTAACTGAAAGTATTGATACTCTTAGATAAAACCTGAAAAATAGTATTTTTCAGCAATTACAAGAGCTTTCATTTGCACAAAGATTACATAAAACGTTCAAATAGATTAAATATTCAAGGATTATGTATTGAAAAAGGCTTCCTCGTAATCAATTCTAATTCAAAAAAAATCTTTTTTGTCATTTTTATACCTTGAAGCTTAGGTTTGTTGAATTAATTATGTTAATAAGAAATTTTTACCGGCAAGTACTTACGAATTGTCCATGATATGTGATGGTATTCCAATTCAAGAAATGAAACAAGTGGTCTTGGTCAACCGTTGCACAAGTTTTGTTCCGGTCAGCACATTTAAAATGTGCAAACTTCGCGAACTAAAACTATCAATAGTGTTTGTAGTGTCTATTATATACGTATATAGAAAATTGGTTTGTTACCTTACCGCTAAAAGCGCTTTTTTGCGATGTTTGTTTGCATGAGTTATGATTTCTGTTGGGAGTTTGGAAATAATGTTTGCCGGAAATCCGCATTATTTCCTACTAGAATGAACAGATTTCATTAGTTACACTAAAACGAGTAAAAATTATTATTCATGAAAATTTATTCTATATAGTGTTGAGACAGGAAGAGTACGAAAAAGGAGAAAATTAACTATATCAAGGGTATCAACAAACATGACCTTAATTTTCAATTAGGTAATTTTACTCTTTCTATAACAGTTTTGAAAATTTAATTTAAAGTTTTGAATGAATGAAAAAATATTCAAATTTGTGTTATGCAATGGTGGAAACTAACTTTATGAATAATAGAAAATAATGTAGAAAATTACTTTAATTGGTCAATTTTCGTGTTTAAAAATAAGATTGAAGGAATGACGCACTTGTCTGTGATTTATTTTATTGTTCTTTTGACAATTCCGCGAAGTCTGAGATGAAATTTCGGTTGATGTTAATCCGAGAAACCAGTTTTGTTTATGAAAACAGTCTAGCCGGGATTTTGGATGCAGTTTGTGTTTGATTTTATTAGGAGTCATTGTCTCAAAAATCCCGCTCTCTGGAAATGAAAAACATTCACATTTGGAACGATCATCCTAATGGAACATCAAACAATGAGTTCGTGAAAAATTTAATAAACAAAGAACGGCACGAGAGCAAAATGCAAAACATCATGTGTATAGAAAGGAAAGAATTTTTTCTTTGAAAAAGTTTCCCCTTTGATAAAACGAATCGTTCCACAGCCTTAGACGAGAAAACCTAATGACCCATTATGATCTCCAAGATTTTAAAGCGAAGTAAGGGACTCGGGAATATGAACACAATCATGCACTTAAAACCGTATTGTTGAAACAACTGCCATTTATATCCAGATGAGAAACTTTTAACGCGGAATTTAGTGTGTGGACATTTTCCTAAAATAAAAGAAAAAAAATTTAATTAGTTCTCGCAGAGAATCTGTTCGCAAGACAAACACGAATCTGAATCTCGGCGGCGGCTCGTGTTGATTTTCGCACTTGATTTCCTTACGAAATAAAATACACACTCGACTGCATCGTATTGTCACAACAATCAATCACAATTTTATTAAAATTCCATGCTTCAACCAACAAGAAAAGGGGAATGGTTTACACCATAGTCGAGATATTAGCAGTTCATTGACTCCAATCACAATAGTTTCAAAGTCATTAAAGCATATTTAGAAAGGTCATCAATCAACTAATGTGAATTACTCCTAACACAAAGATCAACTTTCGGACCCGTTTTGTTTACTACATATCAATGTTTACAACAACTCGACACCTGAGGAATGAATCAAGTTTTTCTCTAGACAATTACCATGATTCATTTTGTGATAATTAGTGTTGACTTACAAATACATAATAAAATAATTAAAATTTTGGGGGGGTGTTTCGAAGCAATTACCCAAGTTTTTTTGGGTAATTAGTCAACAAGTTTGAAAAACACTTTGTGAATAAATTAATAAACATCATTTTAACGAAGATAAATTAACCTAGTTTCGTATGCACGTTGAAAAATTTTCATTGAAACGAAAAGATGATTATGTTAGTCAATGGAATTTATGGTATGCGAGATAATGCAATCAGAAGCGGTGTAAACAAAACTGACCACGCGTTTTGTGTTGAGGAAAGATGTTTTTTCGGGTTATGCAACCATTTAAACGTAATAGAGTGGGTAATAGTAAAAATGGAGCTCATCACGTGGGAATGATGCAAATGTATAAAGAGTAACATTCGAGTTTGTGAAGCAGCTGCCTCTTGAATTTCCATAAACAAGGTGACACATTGACAAACACTGCCACAAGTTCCATATTCATCCGTTCGTCATTAAATTTCTTGACGTGGGTGTATGAAATGAGAGAGTTGTTTTTTTTTTAGTACCATATTGATTTATTTATATTCTTATTAATAATATTTCACGAAAAACGTACACACACAAATATAGGACAGTATTATAGTTTATAATTGGTTTTTTGTAATTTTCATCTTTATATAACAATAATTAATCTAGAGATGTAACAAGATAAAGAGCTCGCGAGATCGAAAATCGCGGGCTCAGGGCGAGTTTCGATATCGCCTCGCGGGGCCGCACAGGGCCGGCTCCAGGGCCTGAGACACCCTCGAGCCGACCGGCGAGCAGTCAATAGCACCATAGTTTCGTTGCAAGAATTTATCAGGAGTCGGAGAGCAACCCCGCGGGCTCGTGGAAGACTTCCACTGGAGACCTCGCCAAGGCAACGTCTGTTATTCTTATTTTTTTTTGGAAAAGGATGAGAAGGTTGGAAGGTTGGAGATGACGGCCGACGGCCTCCAGAGGTTTGATACAATTGGTGTCTAAACTATAGCCGAACTTGTCACTCGCTCAACATTTAAAATATTACGAAAAGTTACGCAACTTGGACTTGGCGAAAAACGGCAACGTTCACACGAAAATTATCATTATTGCTGTGGGTGTTCGAACGCGCATAATTAAAAACGTATTCATTGGTCCCTTGTCAATTTTGACATCGCGCAACAACGACGAAAATCAATGAAGAGTGGTCCAAACGACTTGGTCTGAGGAGCATTATATTTGCTAAAAAAGCAGGAGTACGTCTAGTAAACGTTGATTTTTTTCATTGATTCAAAGTTGGGTAACTTGTTCTCGCTTTTCGATTAAGTTATTTACAAGAAATGAAGTCTCTAAACATCGAAGATTTTTTTAAAAACACATAATAGTTTGTTTTCTTTTAGACTATTTACGATAAATTCCAGAATGAAAGCGTTATATTATCACAGTGGTAGTCATTGCTCCATATTTTATTATTACAATAGAGTCAAATAAAACATAACAATCGTGGCCAACTCGGAACGTTTTGATATTACAATAAAAACTCGCTTCATGTCCTAAAAACCTTAAAAGCTATAGATAAAATCGCTTCCATTAAACAGAATAGAGTTATTTGGAAGTAGACTATACAAATTTATAGATTTGATATAATTTATTAAATAGCAATAATTAAGGCAATTTTAATACTTTTGATGTCGATTGAAACACATTTTTAGAATAAAAATTCGTTTTGTACTTTTGTTAAAACAAGCATGTCGAGTTAGTGTCTTAGCGCCATCTGTGTGTTTTGATTGTGAGATCGAGTTGACGACGATTGCTCCATACCTAACAAGAAATAACAATTTACACGTATATCGAAGAGTATAATAATGTCCACGTGAGGAGGATTGTCGAGAGTTCAGTGTCGGTAGAGGGCGCTCGGTGCGCTGCGATACTGCGCCGTCTTTATCCGTCGACTGACGCATTCGTAGCAGCACACGTAAGCCAAACATCACTTAAACAGGATTCTCCTAAAGGCCCTCCGGAAGTCCTTGTTGAAGATGGTGTAAATGACCGGATTCAGCGCCGAGTTCATATAACCCAACCAGAAGGCCGTAGAAAAGGCAAAGCCTGGGATGTCGTAGGCCAACCGCAAGATGTACATGAAGAAGAAGGGCAACCAACAGGCGATAAACGACCCCATGATGAGACCCAGAATGAGTGTGGCCCTCTTCTCCTTTTTCCTCGCAATGCGTCGTTTTTCCCGTTCTGGGTCTCTGGGTTTCTGTACGCGCACTTCCTCCACCATGTGTTCTTTGCTCGAGCTCGCTTTGTTGTCTTTGGCTGTCCTTCGGTTTTTCGCCGTTTTGCGACCGAATATTGGTTTGCACAGACGGAGTTTTAATGGTTTCACCACCGCACAACGAGACACTACACCAGAATCCGAACTACTTGGATCGAATTCGCTCACCATGTCCGTGTCGATGCCCATCGATGGTTGACGCATACGAGACATGGCAGCAGCTTGCTGTTGCAATTCACCGTTTACCGATAATGTAGAGCCGCGAAATTGGCTCTGGGAGAGAGGATTTCGGACCACCTGGGCACTGCTGAACACCTGCAACAAAACCAACTGTAGAAAAGCCCAAAACGATTGCGAAAACAACATTAATTTTGTTACATAATCGAGTGGATTATTGGGAGGAATGTCGACCAGACCATTACACAAGAAGGTTTTAACGGTTTTGATGCTTATTTACATGTTTTACAAGAAATATAACACATTTGCATTAATGATAGTTTAGTAGATAATACCAAATTTTCTTAAAGTGTATAATACAACGTTTTTCTCTTATTAAATGAAAAATTAAAAATGTTTTATGTAAATTTGTCATGGAATAAAAAGCAACCAAACCGATAAAAAATCGATAAAAAACAGCCATTGGAGTTTTTAACAAATTCCGTGTGTTTGTCGCGAGGAATGGCTTGCTTGCCGCCACAAACAGTAATGAGACCCTCAATTGGCGCATCGTATCTAAAATGCAGTTTTCATCTGACCTGAACAGAGATAAATAGTGAGTCGTAAAGTGTTGTTTAAGACTCAAAAATCCCATATAAAAGAATTTTGAAAGTTTATTTGTTTGTATATTAATTTTTTCACCAATAAGATAAAAAAATCACCAACTGACAATAATTAATTATATCGATAATAAAAATTAAAAAAAAACTAAATTGAATAATAGTATGTATCATAGTACCTAGTCATTTCTAGAATAAACTACTAAGGAATAAACAAAACCTATAAAAGAAAATAAGTGTTTTTAATTTAATTTAATTTTAATTAATTTCATTTTTGTTGTTTTTCTCTAATAAAATTAGGAAATGCCGATACCGGCCAGATAGCTCCTGAACAAGCTCTCTCTTTTTTTCTAGAATTTTATAATGGAATCTTGGAATTTCTGACTACACTTTTACTTATTTCCTTTATAAATATTATTTTAAGAGCAGTTTATTTTAGAATAAAGCAATATAGACTATTTTATAAAATTATATTTGAATTTTTAACAAAATTTTTCCCGATTGAAAATATTGATTATATTTTTTATTTTGCGAATGTAAAACTGTTTTGCCGCATACATTTCACTAATATTAGTAATTTTTGACAAAATCATGTCGATTGCGAAACTAAATTGAACAAAACTGATTTTTTGTGAGCATTTTTGTGAATTTACAAATACTTAATTTTGCTTTATTTCTTAACTTTGATGACTAAAAACAAAAAGATAAATAGACGGTGACGCCACAATAATAGTTATAATGAATTGGAATAAACAAAAAATATAGTACATAATTTTCAGTATTTTTATATTAAACTACGAAATTACAGTTTTCAAAAACTATTTACTCTACCGTCCCGTAGATGGCACCTCTCTAACCAGTTACAAAATGTACCACCGGAAAAATTTGTCGCTTGTGTACAGACCATGCTCAAAAAAATTAAATAAAAAAAACAGTTTTTACATTTTTTTTTGCAATTTAATGTTGTTCCTGAATTAAATCAGTACCTCACACACACAGTAACACAAAGTTTTTATCTCATGTAAGGAATTGCAAAATTCAATAGTTTTTATTTTTATATGAAAAAACGTATAATTCAAATTGCATGAAAAAAAAATTACATAAACAGATAATCTACAACACGCTAAAAATGAATAAAAAAAAATTTCCATACAGTTTTTTTATAAAAAAATAAAATGGCCAAAAGTAGAATTGAAAAAAAAAATTAACGACCGGACAAAAAATTTAAATTAATATATGCTGTTGCTAAGACTAAGATTTATATTTTTATTCTGTATAGTTCAACCTTAAATATAATTGAACCCTAAAACTAGTTTTTTTCTCGCTTAGAAGTACCAAATTTCCTAAAAAGAAACTAAAGGTTGTGTGTGGATATCTTCAACTCAATGTTATTCTTTAAAACATGGGTTTCTATAGCACTGAACGTATGTCAAACGTTAAATTTTCTAAAATCGTTTTGACCAATCGCGTGGAAAGAAGCCTTGAAGTATCGAAATATTTCCAACAAAAAATTGCTCCCGCTTTAAGCAATCAAGTTTTAATCAAGTTTGAATTCGTCGACCGTTCTTCATTGTACAATTCTGATAGCTAACCTGTTTTTTTTTTAAGTCATTAGTTTGGAATCCAGATAAACGGATTTATTTCGTGCATTATTCTCCAACTCAAACTTTTATCTCTTTCCAAAGTGTAATGTCAGAATAATTGTGATATTCTTAATCGAATCAGTGTGTAATTTGCGTAGATTAAAACCGTTGCAATTAAATTACACTAAAGACTTGTTCATTAGAAAATGAATTGATCCGGAAAAGATTATTTATTTAATCATTTAATTAAATTAAAAATATCACGCAACTCGCTTGAAAAATGGACTCGGGTTGGGTTTTAGGATTATTAAGATTGCGGTCACGCGAAAAATGTAAAAAATTTGATTACAGTTGCAACTACGGTTGTTTTTTTAGTATAATCCGATCAAAATTTCGTGTTAATGCCGATTTGATTGCGTCAGCTCTATTTACTTATAAAGTCGATACTCAAGTAATGCAAAGTCTGTTTCGATCTCATATTCGAACATAGACAATATAATCCTTGATTGTTAGCTTTGCGGTTCAGAATTACAAACGTTATTCTGAATCAGCGTGCTTGCGGTTTTATCAAGACCAACTCAGTTAAATACTCGGTAGCAATTTAGACCGATGCTCTTTCGAAACAAAACTAGCTCCAGGTGGAATCATCCGAAATTAGAAACATTCCTTCGGAATCGAGATTCTTCTTCTAATTTCATTCGGCAGCTGGTGCTATCGATCGCTCTCCGCAGACTCAATAAATTGTAAAATCGACGATATTTAAACATTTCCCTCTGACAGTGAAACGGTAATCGTTTCTCGCCGCTTACGATTCTTTGCCGCAACTTGCTTTTAATCACCAGACGGATTTCGAAACAACTCCCTTCAGATTTATTTAGACCGAAACCGGCTTTTGAATCATTCAAACTGATGGGCCGGAATTGTATTGATAGTATGACGACTGAAACAGTCACGTAGAAAAAGAATTTTACTAAATCGAACAGTTTGATCGACTTCTCCAAATAGGATGTTCAGATATGTAGAGAATTTTGTAATTTCGACGTTATAACATCGATCGTCTGACCCAAATTTTCACTATTCCAAACGTTTTTTACAATTCGATTTTAACCCCCGAGTTAATTTTCTGTCATGTTAATAATTATTATGCAGTCTGAGTATTGTTCAGACGTCAATGCATGACAATGAGCTCTCTAGATTATTACCACGACTGTCGCATCTACTGCAGAGAAAACATAATGAAAAACATAAAAAAGTGTAGTAATTTATAAAATATATCCAGGAGGGAGAAGAAAACCTTAAAGTCGGTGTTTTAATCGAAGAAATGGAGCGAAAAATCTCACCAACAACACCAAAGTGTGCAAAACACGAATTTGATCGATGAGAAAACAAATAAATGGAAGACTCTTAATGTATTAGGTTTGAGTATGCGATGAGGTCAATACGGGCTAATGATATCTCTGGCCATATAATGCATATCAATAGAGTTTGAGGGCATATTGTTTACTCGACCTTAACTGAAACGGAATTGGTCTTTGAAGCTGTCAAATTGCCAAGTCTCATTATCTAGCCTTGGTTGAAATATTTAAGTTGTCTTTTCAGCGTCTAGGATAGAGCTACAGGTTTTTGAATTATAAATAAGTAAAAGTTGGGGTGTGTAGGAGCAAGCATTTTGATTCACCAAGTGGGATAATTTCACTCTCGAGTTTTTTGACAAGTTTATGACGCGTATCTTTTTATAACTGCATTAGCAATCTTATAACTTTTCACTTAAAAAAAAACTTTACTTATTATTAAGTTCGCGCAAGAATAAAGTTGGAAGGTCGTCTTTTGTCAGAGACATAATATAACAAAAGTAGTCTTGATGCCGCGAAAATTGCAAAGAATAAAGAAATTACGAGCGAGTGAAAAGGAAAAACCACTGACCGACCACAAGCTTTATTTTTACTGATAAATTGTTATTGCTACCCAAATGATCCACTCCATTATTTACGCATTATTTCCATAAAGTTTAATTAAACGCTTTCTTTATGGGACTATTAAAATTACAGGTTGTAATAAATGGACGCTGTAACAAAATTAACGACTTAATTTGCTATTTTTCACGTCAATCTCGTATTCATGTAAGTATTTAAAAGTTTTAACAAGTTTGAGTTTCCGAACTCTAAGCTTGCGCAGCTTTTAAGATCTATTAAGGAGTGAGTACAGCTGCGTTCGCTTCGAGATCAATCGACATGAAAACTTTCACCAGAACGTTAAAAAATTATTTGGTGTTTATAACTTTCTGGTGTGTTGAAAAGCAAATATTACGTCACAAAAATGCCTAAAACTCAATTTTTTGGGCATTTTTCTGCTCGTCTAAATCCTCTACTTGATTCAAAGCCATAACCTACTTGAGCATCCTCCTCAACACACCCTTCGTTCTTCGGTCCGTCACTGTCAATCGTACAAACCTTGAGCGTATCCTTCTGATCAAGCGTCTCGGCGACGATTTCACCGGCGTCGCTCGTCGAAATATCCGATGCTAAATCACACGTGACGGTGGGAATGGGCATGGGGCGTGGAATCGCCTCGATGGTGGCGATTTGTCTGTCGCCGTCCCGCGGCGACGTGTTGCTGTTCCTATCGATGGAAGCGCCTGCCGTCGCGGCGGCGTCGCCATCTCCGTTCTTCGGTACGCTGAAACTCGTGACGGCGTCTTGGGGTTGGCGTCGAGGCGGCTTCCGGATTCCGCGTCTAGCACGAGCTTTCGCCGCGTAGTAAATACGAATATATACAAATACCATTATGCATGATGGCATGTAGAACGAGCCCAAAGCCGAATACAGCACATAACCCAGTTCTTCGCTCAGCTGCAAAATAAAACATCCTTTCATTGGGTTTTGTTGTGCCGAAGCTCTTAAACAGTGTTTGCATTAGGGGTTGTGAAAGTATAAAATGGCGTTTCACTGTCATTATGACTAACATAAATAGATGTTGAAGGGAGTTTTTCTAAATCTTTTGTGGGGTTAAGCGAAAGCTTACTTGTGTTGGGACTATCCACTAATAAAACTTTAGTGAAATAAAATACCAAGATTACTAACCCGGCGCATCCACCATTTATATTTATTTCTTTTTAACTTTTTAATAACATTTATTAAATTGAAACATAAAAAATATTCAGGGTGTTCCGTTTTTATTCTTACAAATTTGAACAGGTAGAAGAATATTCAATTTTAAGACAAAAGTGTCCTATAAATATGTATCAAAAAATGTTTTGTAAAGGAGCTACACCCTCTGAAAGGGGTGAGTTTTTTAATGGGGTTGTATCGAAAAACGCAAAAGACCTATGGAATTTAGAATTTTGTTCTTGAAAGTGGCATGAAATTTCAGCCAAAATAGTTAGAGTACTATTTATCCTAACCCACAGTTTAAAAAATATACCATTTTCAACTTAATTTGCTAATTTTTTGGCCCATTTGGGTGAAACTTTTCTTGAAAAAGGCAAAAACAATGTCGTTTTCGATCGCAAATTTAGCTATTTTAGCAAAATTTTGTGAAAAAAAATAGTTTTGGCTCGAAAACGTTTTTATTCGCTTGAAAATAGATGGAAATAAAATAATTTTTTGCCTAATTAATTTTTGGGCATGTTTTGATAAAAAACAATTAAGATTTTTAATCACAAATGGCAAAAAACACCATTTTTTATCTAATTAGTAGATCTCAAGACTTGCTTGAGCAAAATGTCGCAAAAAAGTGCATTTTTAACTAAAAAAGTCAAAAATAATGTTATTTGGTCATTTTTGTCCTAAAATTTTTCAACTCAAAAACATGTTAAACGCGATTTTGTGGCCTATTTTAGCAACATTTTGCAAAAAAAAAGTTTTTAGTTCAAAAATGTATTTAACTGCTTAAGAAAGCAAAAATAGCACAATTTTTATCGATTTTTCAACTGGTTCGGAAGAAATTTTGTAAAAAAATTGCATTTCTGGCTGAAGAACTTTCTTAAACGCTTGAAAAAGTAAAAAATATGATATTTTTGATTTAATTTCGTGATTTTATCTTAAAAACATACTAAAACGTTTAAAAAAGCAAAAATAGTATGATTTTCGACCAAACTTGACCATTTTTTTTTCGGTAATAAACACCACAAAACAAGTGTAACATAAATATTAGAAAGATTTTACTCAAAAAGGGTAAATTATATCGAAAAAAACGCAAAAGACCTCTTTTTAGTAAAAAAACTATGGAATTTAGAATTTTGTTGTTGTTATAGTACTTTTAATCCTAAACCCCCCAGTTTAGGACGCCCCTGATTAAAAATTTTGACATAAAGGTAATCTACTGTGTACTTTTATCTAAAACGGTTTCACAAAATGCATTGAAACATACACCCCTTTCAGGGAGTGTATCGCCTTTACATAGTATTTTTAAAGAATGTTCATAGGAAACTTTTATCTAAAAATAGAATATTTTATCTCCTGTTTAAATTTGTAACAATAAAAATGGAACATCCTGTATACATTAAAATTTTTATGGCGCGTAGTAAAAACAGGGTGTTTTGTAAAAAGACAAAAAAGAAGAAAAATGTCAAATAAGATAAAATACCAGAAATATTATAAAATTGTCTATTTGTCAAAAATTTTTGACATTTGACATTTTTTTATGTCTATTCTTACCGATAATTTTGTATCATTTGTTTTTTTAATACACTTTTTCCACAAGAAATAAATAGAATCAAAGTGCAAACTTTAATCTCCCATAGCATCAAAATTTTTATAAATAGACTTTTTCAACATTTTTTTATTTTAATTAATTTTTTCTTGGTTTTATACAAAACACTATTCAAAAGTGTAACTAGCCCGGCGCCTCCACCATTTTATGCTTTTCAACTCGGATTTCGGGCGATGAGTTTCAAGTTGTCGATCTGTTGCCGTCAAAAATAATGCATTGCCGTTTCTTTTTCAACTGAAGCGAGTGTTGATCAATATGTTCGCTGTCGGTAACAGTTTAAAAAGTTGCAAGAGTTTGAGTGAAATCGCATTTAAGCGACAACGTTTAAAATAATTGCTACTGATCGAAAAACTGTTCTAATTTTCTCTAATACTTTGACATTTAATTTTTTCGGTTCTGTGATTACCCGGAAACTCGCAAAAATCCCTCAAGTTTGCCATTCAAGTTTTTGTGCGCGGATATCGATTCTGATGGTGCTTGGTAAGCGCTATTTTGTCTCGTATATCCTTTGATATGAGGGAGTTTTGTGTTTTCTACGAAAATTATTAGCGTGTTTTTCGAACCGGAAACTGATATTAAAATGTAGTAATGGAAGTAATTGTGGGTCAAAGTCGTAAACTGCACTCCCGATAGTCGGCCTAATTAAACACGGACGAGTTTAAGCCGGTCCGAATTAGGTGAAAAACCGCTAAATTGGGATCGACAAACCGCATGTGAATCACATTGGTATCTGTTTCAAATTTTTTCAGACCGAGCTTTAATCCGCTTTGAAGCGAAAAAGTTTATTCTCATCTTTTCATTCGGAAAATGCTGTTTTTTGAGTTTAATTTGAGTGGTGGAAAATGTCCATCAAGCAATAAAAATGTTTTCTAGAGACTAATATATCATGACTTTCACGCCGGCTAATATCTAATATCCGAAATGTACGTGATGAAAATTATGGGGGTGGAAAGAATGTCATCAAGTTCAACGACGAGCATCCTTACGTTTATTAATATCACCGTCCACTTTTAATAAAACATTAATATGATTGCTGCCGGAATGTCTAGAAAGAATTTTGTTGCTTTTTTACACATTTTTCTCTCTTGTTTCAACAAAAACGCTCACTCCATTTGGATTCAATTGGCCATAAATCAGGTGAGTTTGTGTAGCTTTTTTGTTTCATTAAGCACCGTCTTTTCCTGACTCAAACTTGTTATAGTTTTTTTCGTATGCGAGAACAGGAAGGAAATAATGGCGTGAAAGCTGAGACAAAAAAATTAAAGAAGATTGAAATATCTTCTTTCATTTTGTTGACTGGAGAGAGAAAGTCTAAGGGTTTCATGTTTTTCTTTTGACGCTGTCCTGGCAATCTCAACAAACATCGGTATCAGTAAAAATTTTATGCATCTCAAGGGAAAAAACAAGTAGCAGGAAAAATATAGTGTGTACTTTGTCGTTTTATAGTAAGAATAATTTTAATCGTTTGAAGCAGGTGAAGTGTTCCGCATATTTTATTTTATGCTCGAATATAAGAGTCGAATCGGGTCGTAAAGTGTACAAGAACAGAATGTAGCATTTTGCAACTGAGCCTCCATTATTTAAATTAGCACACACATCTGAATATTAGGTCGAAATGCGGAACGAATTTATGATCGGTTAAAATCTGATCTTTGGAATTATCTCGAATTCATATTAGGCTATTACAGGACGATAAAGCAGCTTTATGGATTACGACGCCCTCCAGAAGCCGTGATATGGGTGTCGGAGGCCCTCAGATTCGGTAAATATGTTTGAGGTCGTAAATTCGGCCGCCACTTTTGACGTTTCACGTCGTTCTTTAACCGCAAAATGCGACACGGTTTTGTCGCAGAGATTAATACGTGAAAGGGTTTACGGAGGGATTTTCAGGACGTGGTGTCGTAAAACGGATGACAGATAAAATCAAAAATTGATTTCTGATTCTTGGTAAATGATCCAAGAAAATTGCTCACCTTTCATAATGTTGTTTTGAAGTTTCCACCGTGACTAAATTAACGAACGTTCTGTACCATTTTCAATGAATTAAGCGAGTTTAGCAGAGAAAAGGTTACTTTCGTAAATTATTAGGTGGGTTGGAGTGACACGTGACTGAGAAGTTGTAATTTTTATATAATGGTGGCAAAGTTCTCGACTCGCTAATTACATTAAAGTAAGTTTAACTAATTTTCCGATAACTGTTCAACAAAATTCAAATTAATTTTTTTCTTGAAAAAAATTAAATTATTTTAATAGTATTCATAAAAGAGTCGTAAATATTGCTTCGGACAGGTTTTGATATATCAAATAGCGCGTCGTCCTTTGATATATAAGTTTTTTTTTTGCTGGTGTAATAAATTACGGCAGTGGTGGTTTGAAAGGCTCGCTAGAAATACACAAAGTTTCCGAGTAATTCGTTAAACGAATGTTGTTCTTTAATCGCGTCGATAAAATTAGTCGCTAATCTTTCCATTTTGTCGAGCCAACAACATATAGGACCTGCCTTCGTGTTTTATGATGGTCAATTTTTATCCGGAAATTTCTCCGAGTTTTACCTCGCATGATTTAACATTACAACAGTTGATAAATGTACACGGGCGTGTTTTTGTCGTCGGTTTTTATATTTTATTCGCTGAATTAGAGCGGTCCTGAAGCCGAACATTTTTATTTTAGATTGTCAAGTATGGTCTTTGGTAATTAGTGAAGCTTTTATCGAAATAGTTTCAGTTAGGGGAGCAATCGTTCAACTTTTGCGTCGACAAAAACTTGTTTTCTTGTCTAATAAAATTCCAAACTCTGTCGAGCAAATATTTCACAAGTTTTCCCAGTCTCGCTCTCACTCGTGCATTTTCGTGACAGTTTGTTTACCCTGTATTTGCATACAAGGATCAGCCGAGTGTTAATTTTTAATTCGGTTTTTCCCCCCAGTCAATCCACACTTTTTGTTCTTGAATAATTAGGTCTCTGTGTGGACTGATTCAGCGACAAAAACTGCACTCATTTGCATTGCATGGTTACTCTCAATTTTGCCTTTTTTGTCTTTGAATAATTAGTTTCTAGGACAATTTATAAGCGTCGAGATAAGTTGTATACAATTTTAAATCAAAGACGTAAATCTTTGTCTCTATTGTTCTTTCTCTGA